TTACTTATCTATACTAAGTTTTTGGTCATGATCTACCAATAATTGAAAGAGGTGTGTTAATATTCAATTGTGATGGTGGATTTGGCAATTTCTCCTTGTAATTCTATCTCATTTCTTGCTTTATATATTTCGAGGGTGTTCATTAGGAATATTCAAATTAAGAATTGTTATATATTCCTGATAAATATGTAATGACCCTCTCTATTCCTGATAATGCATTTTTCTTTGAAACCTATTTTATCTTATATTAATGTAGTAACACAAATTTTTCTTGTTGGGATTTGTGTGGTATATAATTTTCCATCCTTTTACTTTTGAGCATTTTCATGCCATCATGCTTTAATTACATCTCTTGGAAACAACATATAACTGGACTTTTTAAAAAATCTAATCTGATGATCTCTTTTAGATGGCAAGTTTAGTCTGTTTATATTTACTGTGATGTATTTGGGCTTGTTTCTACCATCATACTTTTTTATTTCTGTTTACCACCACTACCTTTTTCCATGCTTCATTTTCTCTTTTCTTGCCTGCTTTTTTAGTTTTGAGATTTGTTTTCTTATTCAATTGTTTCCTCCCTATTTTAATTTTTGTTCTATTCTTTCTGTGGTTACCCTTATAAAGTCTAAAGTTAAACAATATTTTAGCCTCCTTCTTGAAGAATGCAGGAAGCTTAGAAACTTTCAACTCTAGTCATTCCTCTCCTGACTACATACTATTGTTTTCAAATATGTTAGTTTGTTCCTTTTTATAAACCTCACAATTATACATCTTTATCAGTATTACTTTATATAGACAGTGTTTGGACTTACATGCATACATTCTTGTATCGCAGACCATCCTTTGGGATCATTTTCTTTCATTACGAATATAGTGTTTTAGTGGGTTGTTTTTTTTTTTTTTAAGTACAGGTCTCTTGATGTTAAATTCTTCCAGTCTTTCTTATATGTAAATGTCTTTATTTTATCCTCATTCTTAAAAGATAGTTTGTTACAGGTATTTTTACTCAACACTTAGAATATACGGTTCCATTCTCTTTTGGCTTTGAGAAGTCTTTATTGCTATTAAGAAGTCGACTATCAGACTAATTGCTGGCTTTGTGTGTGTGTGCATGTGTGTGTAGTAGAATGTGCAGAGGGTCCTGCAGTTTTACTCTTAACATGTTTACATACGTTTTTTTTTTTATTTATTCTACTTTGGAAATGTCATGCTTCGTGGCTCAGTGGATTCATGCTTTTCATCATTTCTGGGAAATTCTCAGCCATTATCTCTTCAAATATTGCCTTTCGTTTTTTCTAGTTTTTCTTTCTCAGAATACAGTTAGTCATATTTTGGACCTCCTCATTCTGTCTTCCGTATCTCATAACATCTCTGAGATTTTCTATCTCCTTGTCTTCCTGCATTTCATTCTGGATAATTTCTTTAGGTATATCTTTCAGCTTACTGATTCTCTTTTCAATTAACTTTAATCTGCCCATTGAGTTTTTTATTTCAAAAGTTATATTTTTCATTTGTACAAACCTCATATATTTTACTTGCTAATCTGCCTAGTCATCCCTAATAGTCTCTTATTGCTTGGTCATCTTTGTGATTACATCTGTTACTACTTCTTTAAAACATTTTATATACTTTTTGTTCAACCAGTAGTCACTGTTTGCATGAGTATGACATTGTAAATATTGTTCACATCAAAACTACATAGTATATTCTGATTACATATCCTTTGTTGTATACCCTTTGGTTTTCCTTGGAGCTAATAATTGTGTATTTTGTTTTCTTTTGCTTAGTGTTCTAGTACCTATTACTATTCTTCTCTGAAATTCTTTATACAGTCCAAATCAGATCATGTCCTTCCACTATTCAGAATTCTCCCATGGCTCCCACCTCCCTCAACAAAAGCCAAAGCCCTCACCATGGCCCAAAAGTCCCTGCATAATCTGGTTCCCTTTACCTCTCTTACCTTGTCTCCTATCACTCTCAGTATCACTCACTCTTCTCCAGCTACACTGGCCTCCTTGCTATTCCCCAAGCGTGCTAGATACCCTTCCTTTTCAGGGCCTTTGTACTTGTTCTTCTCACTGCCTGGAACACCCTTCCTCCCAAATAATCTGATGAGTTGCCCTAGTACTTCCAGTGTGCTCAAATGTCACCTCCCTAGAGAAGTGTTTCCTGATCAACATACCTAAAATCGCCCCATCACATGCATTTTCTATCCCTTTATCCTACTTTACGTATGTTTTTCTACAAAGCACTGATCACCACCTGGTCTATTTTATATTTATCTATTGTGGTTAGTGTTTGTCTCTCTTCAGTAGACTGTAAGCTCCATAAAGCAGGGACTTCTGTTTTGTTCACTGCTGTATCCCCAGTGCCAAAAACAACAGTGCATAGTAGATACTCAATAAATATTTGTGGAACAAACTGAATGAATGGATGAATGACTTAATTGTTAATGTGGAGGATAGAGAGATAAACGCCTGAGGAGTAGGCTAGGCACAAAGGCCTTTAATGCCATGCTAAGGAAGTTGGATATCATTTTTCATAATGTTGGAGGCTGTGAAGAAGCAGTGAGGATAGCTCCTGGGTTCTTTAGGGAAGCAAGTTCTCAGTTGGTAGGGTTGTGGCAAAGCCCCATATTTTCTGACTGGCTGTACGCCCTAGGGCTCCTGAAGGCAGGCCTGCCTCTTACCCAAATAGCCCTCAAACTGCTGTGTTGTCATGCTGCCTGTTACCTGGTGAAAAGTAAAACCCCAACTCTCATCAGGCTTTCTGATCCCAGCTGTCATCCCCCTTTCTCTTGCGCTGCGAGGAACTGTTTCCTGGTCCCCAGGCCAAGCAGACCACTCTCATTATACTTCACCTGTGGTACTTGGTGGTCGGTAGGGGGGCTGCAGGGGATAGCGTGGAAGCTGGTGTGATGATGAGCTCATAGTAAGTGTTGTTATAATGGGAGATACCTTAGGAGGGTAAGTTACAGCTCAAAAAGTTTTTTTTTCATTGTCAAAGTGAGAACAGGCTATGTGGGGTTTTAGTCCTGACTTGGCCCCTAACCCTACTGGGGCCTAGTCTGGCTCCAGTGTTTCTGCCTGCCCATGACTCTGGATACTAATTCTATTGTCTAATGTGTGACCTACTCTCCTATTTCTGTCACCTACTAATTTCATCAGCATGCCATCAGAATTATACAGAAGGCCATGTATAATTAGCTCCCTGTGGCATGCCAGTAGAGACCTCCCTATCCAGGCCAACATCAATTTATTAATCATTAGCACACTGAGTTTAACTAAACATCCACCTAGCTGTAAGTTCAGTTGAGCAAAATTTGACCACTTAGTATGTGTCAGGCCTCCTCCTGTACACTGAAGACACAGAGATGAACGAGATGTGTTCCCAGACACAGAACCGTAAATTCAGAGCAGTGTGGTCAGTGCAGTAACACTGGTAGGAAGAATAGACTGTGAGAGCCCCTAAGGAATACACAACCCAGCGCAGGGGACCAAGGAAGCTTTCTTGGAAGAGATGGCATATGAACTAAATCTTAAAAGATTTAGTTTAACTTTCTAATGTTAAACTGCCCTTGCATTTCTGGGATTAAACTCAACATTTTTATGTTGTATTAAATCTTATTCATTCTGGATGTGGTTTGCTAATAAACTATTTAGGATTTTTGCATCTTTAGCCATCTGTATTTGTCTGGTTAAGGTTATAGTGATCTCATCCAATAAATCAGTTTTCTAGGAATTGGTCCACTTCATGTAAGTTTTCAAATTAATTATATTCTCTTATTTTTTAATTTTTACTATATCTTTTATGTCGTTCATATTATTTGTGCCTTTTCTATTTTTTCTTGTAAGTTTCTCCAAAGATTTTTTTTTAGCGATTGGCCTTGAAAAGCTTACCATACATATTTAACCTAAAGTCCAAAGTTAAACATACTCCCCACCCAAACAATTCACAGACTTTATAAATCTTTAATGTCTCCCAATTTACATGTTATTATGTCTACTATTTTTGTTCCTCCCTTATTAAGGATGACACTAACAATATCATTTTATGCAAACATTGTTTGCTTAAATACTCATTTACCTTTTATTTGCCCACCTTTCTTCTTTTACCTCAGATGTCATTTTTTGGGACGATATTTTTTCTTCTTTTTTTTTTTTTTTTTGAGATGGAGTCTCACTCTGTCGCCTAGGCTGGAGTGCAGTGGCATGATCTGGGCTCACTGCAAGCTCCGCCTCCCGGGTTCACACCATTCTCCTGCCTCAGCCTCCCAAGTAGCTGGGACTACAGGCGCCCGTCACCATGCCTGGCTAATTTTTTGTATTTTTAGTAGAGATGGGGTTTCACCGTGTTAGCCAGGATGGTCTCAGTCTCCTGACCTCATGATCCACCTGCCTTGGCCTCCCAAAGTGCTGGGATTACAGGCACGAGCCGCTGCGCCCAGCCTGATTTTTCTTCTTCTTGAAATACATACAGAACTTTAGAAAATCCTTTAGTGTAGATCACTTAATTGGAAACTCTTAGTCTGTGTTTATCTATAAATGCCTTTTTTTCCCTTTATTCTTCTTAAAAGATGGGTTTGCTAGGTGTACCTACTTCTAAATTACCTTTTTTAGAAGGATATTAAACACTGACACGAAGAGGACATTATGACACTCTCATCTGGTTTCCATTATTACCGTTGCAAAGTCTACTGTCACTCTAAGTTTTTTTTGTAGGTGTTCTTTTTCTCTGGCTGCTTTGAAGGTCCTTTGGTTATTGGTTGACTCTATAAGATCTTTTTAGTTGGTGTTGTCTTGCAAATGTTCCTTTTTATAGCTTCCTAATCTTGCCCTATGAATGCAGTGTTTTCTTGTTGCTCTGATGATATTAAATAATAATGTCTTTTTAAAAAGTGTTCTCCCTACAATTTTATGTATTTATTTATTTATTGAGACAGAGGCTCCAGACCCAGGCTGGAGTGCAGTGGCACGATCTCATCTCACTTCAACCTTCGCCTCCTGGGTTTAAGTGATTTTTCTGCCTCAGCCTCCCAAGTAAGTGGGATTACAGGTGCCCGCCATCACACCCGGCTAATTTTTAGTAGAGACAGGGTTTCACCGTGTCGGCCAGGCTGGTCTTAAACTCCGGACCTCAAGTGATCCACACACCTTGGCCTCCCAAGGTGCTGGGATTACAGGCGTGAGCCACCGTGCCCAGCCCTACATAATTTTTGTTTCCAAACATATATATTTCGTTGTCAGCAGCAGTGAGAAACTCACTGACACCAGATTTGGCCAAAGGCACCACAGCTAACACAAGCATGACATATTCTGAAGCCTTAGAAAGAATCTGTATGAATAATGGGCGGGGGGGGCTCTACTGTGTGCAAACATGGGTCAGTGCCACAGTTCTGTCACTTGCAAGTATGTTAGTGCAGTGGACTTGAGCCAGACTGCCTGGATTCAAATCCCAGAGGTGGTCAAGTCATTTGACCTCAAATTTCTGTAGTTTCTTCTGTAAAAATGGGGATAGTAGTGTTACAGGTCTTTCAGAATTTGTCTAGCAGGCATTCTGGTTTTTGCTGAAAGCCCCCTTAAAAAATAAATAAAACAAAAATGGGGATAGTAGTAATATGTACTTCATAGGATTATTGAGGGTATTAAATGGGTTAATCTACATAAAGTATTTAGAGTAATGCATGGCATGTAGTAAGCACTGTATATGTGTTTGCTATTACTACCATTATTACTTTTGCGACAAGGGGATTGAAGGAAGAAGAGCTTCTATGGTGCAATGAGGAAAGGAGTATATCCTGCCCTGTGTGTTCCCCTAATATCTTGGATATAAAAGCCATCCACAAAAATACAAGGTCAGGAATTCAAAGGGGTTATCTGGGCACCTTAGAGTGTGGGATATCAAGTAGGCAGTCAGAATGGGATAGAATTCTTCAGTGAGAAGTATTGGCTATTTCCTTTTTGGAGCAGAGCAGTACCATATGGGAGAACAGTGACAGAGGGATAATCTAGGCTCAGGGGATTTCTTAAGCAGTTAATAATGCTTTCTCTCTTAGGAACTAACCTGTCAGGTACTGAGAGGCTTTGAAGATGGCTCTTCAGGTTGGGGACACGCCTTTGTTAAGGGGCAAGACTGCTGCCTGGAGTTGATTCACATACTCAGAGGTAGGATTGACCACATAAAGAAAATGCTTTCAAGTCTTTGTTCTGAATTTTCTTCGACCCTCCGTAAGTTTGGGGAAAGTCCCAGCCTCAGTAACCACCTCAGTAACCATCCCAGACACAGTGTAGAGGATATGAACAGGCAGAGTGGGGCATCTGGAAAACAGGTGCATCGTGGGGAGGCCAATCTGAGGAGCCATTAGCATTAAAATGGAAAGTTCAAGAGATACAAAAATTCTAAAAAAACTTTATCAAATCAAATCCAATAATGTATTACAAGGATAATGAATCATAACAAAATGGATTTTATCCCAGGAATGCAGGATTGGCTTGGCATTAGAAAATCAATCATGCAATTCAACATATTAACAAACCAAAAAGGAAAACCCATATGATTATTGCAATAAATGCAGAAAAAGCATTTGACAACATCTGACATCCATTCCCGAGTTTAAAAAACAAAAACTCTTGGCAAATGAGAAATAGAAGGGAACTTCTTCAATCTGATATGGGCATCTGCAAAATAACCCACAGCTAACCTTATATTTACTGGTGAAAACTGAGTGCTTTCCCCCCAAGATCAGAAACAAAACAGAGATGTCCACTCTCACCACTTCTATTCAGCATTATACTGAAGGTTCTAGGCAGTGCAGTCAGGCAAGAAAAAGAAGCAAAAGGCATCCAAATTGGAAAGGAAGAAGTAAAACTGTATTTACAGAAAATGTGATCATCTATGTAGAAAATCCAACTGAGTCCACCAAAAATAAAACCCTACTAGAACTAATAAGTGAATCCAACAAGTTGCAGGTTATAAGATCAATATACAAAAATTAGTTGTATATCCATATACTAGCAATGAACAATTGGAACAGAAAATTTTAAAATACCATTTACAATAACATCTAAAAATGTGACTTAGGAATAAATCTCACAAAAGATGTGGGAGACCTATACACTTGTATTGCTGAGAGAAAGAGGAGCCAAATTAATGAAAAACATTCGTGGGTTGGAAAACTTAGTATTGTTATAATGTCAATTCTCCCCAAATTGATCCATAGATAAAATGTCATTCCTATAAAAATCTCAGCAGGTTTTTTGCAGAAATTGACAACCTGATCCTAAAATTCCTATGGAAAGACACTACAGAGCCTGGTACAGTGTGTGGAAACCCTGGGTAGGGTTCAGCTTTCCCAGAGAATTAGGATTATCGGTGGAGCACATATAGAGAGGAAAAACAGTGACAGGGCCTCCAGTTGCAAACAGGTCTACAAAGGATATGAGCAAGCAATTTCCTGAAGTGGAAAACCCAAAAAGCTAACAAGCCTAATAAAAGATGTTCAAATATATTAACAGAAAAGTCTAAAATAAAACTACAGTGAGATTTTACTTTAGATTTCACAAACAGACAAAATTTTAAAAAGCTGGATCATGCCAAGTCCTTTAGTGGGGATATGGGGGCATAGGGACCCTCTTGCATTGGGAGTGGGGACTTTGGCAGCCATCCCAGAGATGAATGTGACACTATCCCCATGGGCCCTCCAAATAAATTCTCACACAGGTCCATAAAGGGTCATGTAGAAGAATGTTCATTATGGTGTGGTTTGCAACAGTGGGAAGTCGAAGGCATGCTGGGTGTCCATCACCAGGGGCATACACAGGGAGATAGTGATGGGTGCATTCCACAGAGGACCTCTTAACCTTTACGCCAGTGAGTTAGGTGTACACAGGGCAACACGATGATCTTCAACACATAGCACTGAGTGAAAAAGGATGAACCGTATAACAATACTACTCAAAAGTTACAAATATATGCACATATACACCAAATACACACCTTACAGAAATGCACACAAATGGATGTAAGTTAAACACTTTTGAAAAATGCCTATGTCAGGGAGAGGGGAGGAATGGGAGCGTGGATGACAGGGAATAAATAAAACAAGAAAGCGGTGGAATTGCCAGGCACAGTGGCTCACACCTGTAATCCCAGCACTTCGAGAGGCCGAGGTGGGCAGATCGCTTGAGCCTAGGAGTTCAATTCCAGCCTGAGCAACATAGTGAGTTCTCATCTCTACAAAAAATACAAAATTAGCCAAATGTGGTGGTGCATGCCTGTGGTCCCAGCTACCAGAGGGGCTGAGGTGGGAGGATCGCTTGAGCCCAGGAGTCTGAGACTGCAGTGGGCCGAGATTGCATCACTGCACTCCAGCCTGGGTGACAGAGTGAGACCCTGTCAAAAAAAAAAAAAAGAAAAAAGAAAAGAAAAAAGAAAGAGGGGAGGAGAAAAAAACAAGCAGAAAGTGTCTGTTCCCTTGGCCTAGTCACCCACTCCCCATGGCATTCATCCTTTAGAGTCTACTCCACTGAGGAGGAAACAGCCACACCTACACTCTGTTAACCTGAGGTCAGAATGCCCAGGTGAGCCTGGCTCAGACGATCTGTACTCGGCTGATTTTGAGTACGTGCTGCTGCGGCTCCTGCACACCCTCCCACCAGCACTGCAGCTGCCTGGAGCAGGTGTGGACATGCATTTCACCCCACAGAAGTTGCCTGCTGTGATCTACTATTAAGGGTGGGGGCTGGTCACAGAGTTTGGAAGTAAAGAGTTAGGGCGGCCCACTCCCCATCAAACCATATGGTAACCAGACCATATGGTAACTAATTTCTGGTCTGCACAACAGTCCTGCTAGTGCCCTGACTATGCTGAGACATGGGTGTATTTTCCTGGCCTCATTTAGAACCTTACCCTCTGACTTCCCCAGAAGCAGCTCTTGTAAACTCTTAGGGAAACTGAAGCCAGACTCACTATGACTGAGAGATTCTCTTCAGCTTATCCTCTCCTGGACTCTTCACCTAATTATACCAATACTGCCCCTTCCCACCAGCTAGATGCATGCTTGCCATTTGGTTTTCAAAACAAAACAATACCTTGTTCAGTGATACATACATGGGAGGTGAAATTTTCTCAAAAGCAGGCCAGGCACAGTGACTCATGCCTATAATCCCAGCACTTTGGGAGGCCGAGGCGGGCGGATCACCTGAGGTCAGGAGTTCGAGACCAGCCTGGGCAACATGGAGAAATCCCGTATCTACTAAAAATACAAAAATTAGCCGGACGTGGTGGCATGTGCCTGTAATGTCAGCTGCTCAGGAGGCTGAGGCAGGAGAATCACTTGAACCTAGGAGGTAGGTTTTGCAGTGAGCTGAGATCGTGTCATTGCACTCCAGCATGGGCAACAAAAGTGAAACTTTGTCTCAAAAAAAAAAGAAAGATTTTTTTTTTTTTTTTTTGCAAAAATTGAGGAAATGAGAACATAAAGGTCAAGGTAGTGGTTTCTGGGCAGGGGAAGGAGATGAGGGATCCACAGTTGGCTTCTCAAACTCCATAATGTTCTAGTTCTTAAGCCAGCTGGTGGGTAGATGGGTGTTTCTTATATGTCTTTAAACTGAACATGGAAGTTTTCAGAACTTTTTTCTATGTTGAATACATTTAAAAGTTTGAAAGCAACACAAAGAGATTTCAAACCCGATAACATTTGCATTTATCAGAACACATAGAATCAAAGAGAATGACAATAATCACATTGGAATATCTGCCTATGAGGGGGAGGGTGTTGGAAACGGGAGTGAGGAATGAAGGTAAAGTGAGTAAATACATGAATAAGTAAATAAAAAGATACGCATTTTACTGATCAAAGATAACAATGTAACATGACCAGTAGAGTATAGCTTCCTCCACCTTCTGCACCTGAGATTCAAAGGAAAAATAAATACTGAACATGATCAAGAAACCGGACCTAATAAATCTGACTGATCCAAAACCAACAGGTACAAACTTAAATCACCTGAGTACCCAAAAGATTATTATAATCAAGTAAATCATTGCAACAGAAAGTTTTCTGAGGTGAAGGATTTTGAAGTCTCCTTCAAAAGTTGGTCATTTCTCCAAAGTTTTGGCAGGATTGCTTCCCAACATTCCTAAAGGATTCACATGGGGCCCTCGGTTCATTAGCTCATTTCACAGTAAAACTCACAACCCAGTGGAGAAAGCAGGGGACTGAACTCATGTCCCTACAAGAGCAAAAGACCAAACCTTCATACCTTAGAAGTACAGCCCCATGTTGAACCATGTCTTGGAAATTGCCTCTGTAGCTTCAACACAAACAAAAACCTGGCTGTTGGAAAAATGTGTTTGATTTAACCTCAGCCATCCTTAGACTACAAAAGAATCATGGGGGTTATATTGAATCTGCTTGGATCACCCCTAGCCACACTCTTCCTCCTTTTGTCCCCTAATCCTAGTGTCCCTATCTCCACTGATGAGCAAATGGACATTTCCCCTCAACACTGAGGTCACGTATTCTGCCTTGTCTCTGCACTCGCCAGACCTGCTGTGGGCTGCAGTTTTAGTTGAGATCATGTTAGTTAGTTAGTTCTTATCTTTTGAAATGGCTTTCTGTTACCATAGGATGCTTCACTGAGGTATGTGCCTTCCTGCCTAACCTTGTACGTCTACTGACATATCAGATAGACGTGTTCCTTGCAAACTAAACGTAGTAATGTGCTGCAGGCCAGTTGGAGTATCACCGGATCTCCGCATGCCATTTGTGTCACCCTGGTGTGACCCACAGTAACTGTCTTTATGGGTTAAGCCCTTCCTGAAGTCCCAGCCAACTTGTGGACAGCTGACTTTAACAAGGGAGGGCAGCTGCTTAGGATGCTCCTGTTAAAATCAAAATCACACAGCATCTGTTGCCATCTTCTAGCCCTAGTGTCCACTTTCCATACTGGCAGAAGAGGGAAATGAGCCTATCATCAATGTCCTCCTCAAACTGAGTGTCTTAATGCCAACCCACAGTTTATACAGCAGCCCTATCCTCCTGGTAAGAAAGTCAGCTACATTTATTTCTAAGAGCAGATGGGTCTGCCATCATGATCAGGACCACATTAGTGAACATATGTCACCCCTGTTCATCCCAGACTTCTGAATCCACCATCATCCC